ACTTCCATGGGCTGCCACCGCGATCCGAAGTTACTCCGGTGACCCGGCTCTCCCGAGCCTCAACTCTGCGAAACTTGGTAACGATGCCAACCATTTCGGCATGAGTGCAGAACAGTTGCTCACTCCCTTCCTTCCATTGGGTGCATGCGCCGACTTGCACCAGGAGAAGCATGGTGTTCCAGCTGTTTCAGATCCCGCTATCTCGGGCGCCCAAACCACTGTCTGCACTAGCTTGACTTTGGCCACCTTTAACGTCCTCTCCCTCAGCGATAAATTTTGCCACCCAGCGGCAAATCCAACTCCAGGTGAAGGGCTAGCTATGTACCCTGGCCGAGCCCAGTTGTTGGCAGCTCAACTGGCGGCTCACCACATCCAGCTGGCATGCTTGCAAGAAACACGATGCGAAACCGGAGTATATCGCTGTGGGCAGTATATCAGGTTCTGTTCTGGCGGTTTGCATGGCCAATGGGGGGTTGAATGGTGGTTCCAGGAAGGCTCTGACTTCTGTAAGGCGGTTACAGAGTCTTCTGCTGCATCGATCAAAATTTCCTTTAGGGAAGCCTTGTTTACGGCTGTCCTTTTGGATCCTCGCCGTCTTTTCATCCGGTTTGCAGACAAGGATACACGAGTTCTCTTTGTGGGCCTCCATGCCCCGCATCGAGCCACTGAATCAGCCATCCTTGAACAATGGTGGCAAGAGACCCACGCTCTCATCCGCAATCACGCCATGCGTGACCAAGTCGTCGTGGCGGGCGACTTCAATGCTTCGGTTGGGAGCAATCCTTCCGACCATGTCGGCGACCACGCTGCCGAAATTGAGGACCAAGCCGGTGAAGCCTTACACTCGATACTTAGAGAGTTTGACCTCTCTATCCCCGCCACATGGCAAGCCTTTCATGTGGGAGATTCCCACACCTATGTACAAAAGCGCAATGGTCAGCTGTGTCGGCCGGATATGGTCTGTGTTCCGTCCGTTTGGTGCAAAGAGCATTGCCAATCTTACCTCGCCCCGGGGATCCATGCGGCACACTGCAACCCAGATCATACTGCCTCGGTCCTTGAAATCGCTTTCCATTCTGCTATAGGGCCGTGCGGAACTGCGCTTCGGCAGCGCCGATTTCCTGTCAGTCTTTTCCGCGAACCAGCTAACAAAGCTAAAATTGAAGCAGCCCTGCGGTGTTTTCAACCTTTGCCGTGGGATTGCTCAGTGCATGCACATGCAGCGCATTTAGCTAGTTATGTGCAGCAGACTCTGGGATCTGTCAAGTCCCAGCACGCTGCTGGACCGCATCAGTCATACATCCAACCGGCCACTTGGAGGCTACAACGAGCGGTCGCTGCCACACGCCGGTCTCTCCATCGCCTCCAGCGCCAGGTCTCTGTGCAACTTATGGCAGTGTGTTTCCATCTTTGGCGCGGCACCGACATGCTGTCATCCCTTACCCAAGGGACTGTTTGGTGGCGCCGCGCGGACCTCGCACTGGCAGCCCACCTCAGCCTCTTACGGCACCAAGGCCATCACCTCAAGACTGCTTGTAAGCAGGACCGCAATCAATATTTGAGTCAGCTGGCAGACCAGATTTCGTCCAAGCCAACTTCGGAGGTTTTTGGTCACCTGCATAGGCTTCTCTCCCACCGGCGCAAGAAGCCTTATAAAGCCGACCCCCTCCCCTCCATCCGCGATGCAGAAGGACGAGTTTGTCCCGACACAGAATCCAGTCTCCGGCGCTGGCGCCAGCACTTTGGAGGCTTGGAAGGTGGCACCGAGGCCCCCCTTGAGGCATTCCTTCTTGAGGCCCAGAGCCGCATCGCACACCGCGCTGCTGCATGTGAGGCCTGGCCAGCCCCCAATGACATCCGCCTTCTGCCTACATGTGCAGATATTCGTCGCCTTCTTATGCAAGCCAAACCAGGCAAGAGCCCAGGGATGGACGGGATCCCCAATGAGTTCGGGCGTGCCTTTGCTGATGCCCTGTCCCCTCATTTGCACCACATTGCCCTGAAAACCTCCTGGCGAGGCTCGGAAGCCCTGGGCTACAAGGCTGGCCAAGCCATCTGGCTCTATAAAGGCAAAGGAAGTTTTCAGGATTGTGCGTCATACCGGTCCATTCTTCTTTTACCGGTCTGGTCCAAGATCGTGCACCAAGCCCTTCGACCACCCATGAAGAATTTCTTTGAACAGCAAGCCCCTAGCCTGCAGCTGGGGGGCAAATCCAAGTGCACCGTCATGTTTGGCAGTCAGCTTATCCGGGGCATCGGCCGGGTTGCTGCTGCCACAGGCACGACGCAGTTTACACTTTTCGCTGACATTGCGTCCGCATTTTACTGTGTGATCCAGCGCTTGGTGGCCAACCATGCTGCCACCTCCGACGGTTTCGACCCTGACAGGTTTCTCAAAAGCCTCCAGCTGCCCCCTGAGGAGCGAGAGATTGTGGAGAAACATCTGGCCGAACCATCGGCCCTTGCCCAGGGAGGGGCCCCGCCTTGGCTTGGAGCTCTTACTTGTAGTTTGCAAGAAGGGAATTTCTTCTTCTTGAAGGGCGACAATACCGTCATTGCCACTACTAAGGGTTCGAGGCCAGGGTCGTCGTGGGCAGATCTCATCTTCGCTGCCCTCATCAAGCGCATCTTGCTGCGTCGAGACGAGCTCCGAGCCGAATGTGTTCAGGTCTCTACAGCACCCTCTTTCCCGTGGGATGGAGTGCGCACACTTCAGGCTTGTGATGACTGTTCGACCCATATAGAAGTCTCCGAAGTAGTCTGGGCAGACGACATAGCAATTCCGAGGCTTACCACGCCTCACCAGGCAGCATGTGCTATGGGGGTCGAAGCCAGCTGTCTATCAGACTCTCTTCAGGAATTCGGCTTCACCCTTTCATTTGCACCGCACAAAACCGCTGCCGTGCTGACTCTGACGGGAGCTGGGAGTAGACGAGCTAAGCAGGATGTGTTCGGCCCTTCTGGGCTACAGGGCCGCATCCCTGTTGTCTTTGACTCCAGCCCGGGAGTTTTGCTACCTGTTGTCACTTCGTACCGCCACCTCGGCAGTCAGCAGACCCCCAGCGGAGGTCTACGCGCGGAAATCGCTTACCGTATCGCACAAGCACGTGCGACTTTCGCTGATGGCCGCCGCAAAGTATACCGAAATCCTGCCATTAGCCTCAAGCGTAAAGCCTTTATTTTGCGCTCAGCGGTCCTCCCCAAACTCTTCTTCGGTGCAGGCTCTTGGGGACCGCTTACTAAAGGAGAGAGACGGACCATTTCGGGAGCGCTGTGGGGCTTCTATCGCAGTCTACTCGGCATAGGCAAGTTGGAGGACCAGCATTGGGATGCCCACACCTGCTTTGCCCTTTTGCAGATGCCTAGCCCCAGCGTAGCTCTTAGGTTTCAAGCCAGGGGTGGGGCTGCCTTGAGCGCCTCGGGGATGTTTCCTTAAGTGAAACAGTCTGAATTTCACGACGTCTGATATCCATCTTGCAGTCGCGACACAATTATCCTCAAAACATAGCTTTCTATGTGATCTCGGCTGTTTCCACGGAAACTCGCTTTGTAGATGACTGATGAGTTTGGGGTGGAGCCGGGGAGACCAAAAAGTGCCGTCGCAGATCTGTCTGAGAAGTTGTGCACGTCTCCTTTATATCTCGCAACTGGTCACAGCTGGTCCACCTGAGCTGTGGGCCTGCCTGAGGGCTGACCGAGCCCACGCCGAGCTTCTGATTGGGGATCTCCACTGGTTACATTCGTACACCTGGCGTACCACTGGGCTACCCTGTCCCCGTGGAGATTGGGCAAGTTGGGCCTCTTTTATCTCCCATTCACCAGGCAAGTACAAAGGCGCTGTGAAGCGAGCCCAGGCTCTCGACATCTACAGGCACACAGTGCTTGCAGCCCTTTCGGGACTCCATCGCGCCCTTCTCTTAGTCTGCAACCCTGCTCCAGAGTCCCCTGAGGTACTGCCTCAGCGTTCTCACTACACTGAAGTCTGCATTGTCTGCAAACGGGCTTTCCACAGCCGTCTTGCATGGGCAGGCCACTGTGCCCGCAAGCATGGATACCGTTCCCATGCACACCTGTGTGCCGCCGGCAACACATGCTGTGCCTGCGGTCGGAGCTACTCCAGTCTAGGCAGACTGCGTCGGCATCTGGTGTCAAGCCCCCAGTGTGTCCTGAATTGGGGTCGCTTTCTTCCTGACAATCAGGCCCAGACTAATGCCCCGCACCCCCTAGCATACCCAGCCACAGTGTCAGGGTGTTTCCAGGCTGAGTTTGAGCCCAGCATTCGTCTAGACATCGTTGCGGGACTCCTGTCTGACCTTAACGAAATCCCACCTGACAGCGAAGAAGCAGCCTGGGCTGCTATTTCTTCTTATGTGGAACCGCTCCAGACCCTTCGTGCCACGGTGTCTGTATGGAAGTCAGAGAACCCCAGTTGCACAGCACGTTCTTCCACGGCAGACAACATGCTGCTTCTGTTGGACGTTGACCTTCTGGCGGACACCTACCAGCCCTGCCATCCGGCACGTACCTTCCCACAGGATGACGTTCCCGTCTGGTCTTGCCCTGGGCGTATGGCTTTTGCCCTCAGCGGTGCACCTCGCACCTTCTGTGTTGAGCCACCACCTCCCTGCGTCCTCCGGCACGATACCCCGACGAGCCTCAGTCTTCGAGAGGCTGCTGCCTATGCCACCTGGTTGGAAGACACCTGCAGGGTCGTTGCACACTGTATCACCGTTGCCGCTAATCAGCCTTGTCGCTTTGTCTGCCCTGGAATCCTCGGCGCGCTAGGGCCAGCTACAGACTGGATCCTGGCCGCAGGCTTCAAGGCGATGGATTTCGGCTTTCGCACGCCGTGCGATTAAAGTTTCACCCGAATTTGTTTGCAAAGGCGAGCGCTCGACTCGAGCTCTACCGCAGCGAATGGAAAAAAGTTAAAGACCCAAACCTCAACACCCTATAAAGCCTTGTACCTTAAAGACCCAAACTTTTGCCGAAACCCCAAGGAGCCTTGCCGACTTGTACACCCTTGCCGTGCATCTATGGTGTGCCGAGTGCACTCGGTGTTGAACACGACTGCCACAATGTCACGCTCCTCGGCTCTCGTTTCGCCCCAAGATTCAGAGCCCGTGGGTTTTCTGCTCCCCAAGCGCTCCCAAACCCCAATATCCCAAAGCTTCAAACCCCAAACACCGGAAGTCCCCCGAACCAGGGCTTTCTTGATGGTTGCAGCAGTCGCATCGAGCGTTGTGAGTTTCGCAGGTTTCGGGAATCCTTAGGCTCGGTCAGGGTGTGGGTGCTCCGGGATGAAGCTCTTGAGGGTTTGGAGTTTAGGGTTAAGGCTTGTCAACAGGGTTCAGGGTGTAGGCTTCAGGGTTATCATGCAGCGAGGAAGCAGAAACTTGGCGCTCAAGCCTCCTCCACTTTGTTCTGCCGCTCCGTCGACTCCTAAACCCGAACCCTGAATCCCGAACCCAAAAGCCTAAACCCCCAGCCCGCTAACTTCACAAGGACGGGTGGCAACTGCACAGCAGCTTGCACGGTGGAGGCGCTGCTGGGTTGTCGGGTTTCCGAGCTGGTTGAGGGTTTTCGGGTTCAGGCTTTAGAGTTCAGGGTTTGGGGTAGACCCGAAGTCCCAAAGCCGATATCTTAACCTCGGAGCCGGCTGTCTCTCTTGCGCCCAAAGCCGTCAGGGCTTCGAGTATGCATCTGGTGGAGCCGAGCAGTTCAAGTGTGAGGCGACAGGAGAATTCAACGGCTGCTTTCCTGCATCGTGGTTCGTGTTTCAGGATTCCTTGGGGTTGGGGTTCAGGGGTTCGGTGTCGAGGGGTGTAGTAGGCACAGTCTTACAGGCTTAGAGCCAAGGTTTTGGCTACGTTCAGGGTTGAGAGATATATGTTTAGCGACCGCGCAAATCGTAGCTCGTAGGGAAACTTCTTGAGACTTGCAGGCACCACGCTGAGGTTCGACCTCTCTGGCGTGTGCCAGCCAAGTCTCAATCGTATAGCGCTAAATCCGTGGAGGGTTCTTGTTTAGGATTCTGGGCTGAGTGTATGATTTAAGATTTTAAGTGTGTAGGAGTGTTCTCCATCCAGTTTTCAGAGAAGTCAGCATCCATCAACCTAGGCGCGTGATAAGTAGACCCCCGGGTGTTTCGCGGGTTTTAGTATGTAAGGCTTTGGGGTGTTTACACAGGGCTTTACGGGTTTAGGGTTCTGGGGTCTTCAACGTATGGATGATCATCTGGATCCTGCCAACCAGGTCCTGTAAAGAGGTCCGACCCGGAGCCAACTTCCGTAACCCTCATGAAGTACAGACCCGAAAAGCAACGACAAAACGACATTATAGCGATAGTAAGTACTGCACTGATAGCAATAAGCTTTATACAGGCAGCTGACCATGCTAGTGGGAAATAGGTTACATTGCATATTTCCATGAGCCGAGGCCTTCCTGATCTCAAAGCAAAGCCGGCACTCAGGCACCGTTCCGTCCTGTCAGCGGGTTACCTGCTCCGACCTCGACTTGGCTTCTTAGCCGCAGTTTCTGTGGTTCCGTGCACACCACGATGCTGTTGGTGCCCATCACGCCAAATCCGAAAGCCCAAATCCATCACCCACTTAGACTCCTACACGCTCATCCAGCAGTCTATCAAAACCCTCCCAGCCGATTCCGGGTTAGGTCGGGCTGGCAGGGAATAACAAGGTTGAGGGTTCAGGGGGGACGCCTTCTTCCACCAATCCCTGTCTTAGGCTCCCAGGTCGAGTTTCTTGCAGCCTACCCCCCGACGCTCTAAGCCCCAAGTATTCAATGCCGGATGACCCTAAAGACCCTGAGCCAGAAGAGCTCCAGAGCACTTTCCGAATACGAAGCGCCCAAACCAGAGAATCCCAACAGCTCGCGCCCACTCTCCCCGCCCTCAGAACCCGAAGCAAGCCACACGCAGCCTAAACCTGGAAAATAGGACCCTCAACCTTTGCCCTACTAAGCCCGATAGCACTTTGCCGAACGAACTCCCGACAAGAAGGACTCTAAGGTCTTTTGATCTCAAAAAACAACCGAAGCCAAGGCCTCCCGATTTTCGCACAACTGTGTCGGCATGGCTTTCCAGGATCGGCCTTGGCTTGATGAGGTTTAGGGGTTTCGGAGTTTAGGGTTTAGAGTTTAGGGGTTCAGGGGTTTAAGGTTTTTGGGGCGAGGGTTCAAGGTTCTGGCGTTTGGCGGTTTCGGGGTGCAGGTGTAGGGCTCCAGGCTAGGTGTGCGGTTCGCGCTGAGGGTTGTTTATTCAGGGGCCTAATGGAGTGCTTAGGGTTCATTCAGCGTGTCGTGTAGGAGCCAGAAATCAGAGGTTCGGACTGGGGTTCCGGATTCGGGGTTTAGCCTTTTGGATTCCAAAGGCTTCAATTCAACTTTGCTCGGCTGCCAGGACACCTGCGGTGTCAGTTGCGCCAAGGGCTGGACCTTGCAAGGCTTTGGATCCCAGCGTCTCGGTCCCAATGGCCTACAGGTGTTTGCTTTTTGGTTGTCGCGCGGAGGGTTACAAGGGGTGGAGCGCGATAGCGGGCGCACGGGCGGTTGGGGCGTGGAGCTTTAGCGTTGAAACCTGCCAGCTGGGTCAGTGTTGGGCAAGTGGAACCTGCTCAGTATGTCTTTTCAGTGCAGGCATGTGCATAAGACCAACAGAAGCAGGCCGTCTTAAGCTTGGATTGATGTGTTTTGTTTTGTGCTGCCCTCCCGTGCTGCCAGCTCAAGGTTTGAGTGCCGGGCCCATGGCAACATCACCGGCATTCTGCCCAATTGCGTCGGCAACCCTTGCAACTGGTGCTGCGATAGTTCTTGTTCGGCCTTGCTTCGGGACACTATCTCTGTGGGTTGATACCTTCTTTCCGTGGCAGCCCTGGTGTCGGGTTTCTTCTTTGGAGTATGGCTTGTGTGTTCATCCGTACTCAGCTCTTTTTCTTGTGTTTGGGAAAACCTGGGCACCCGTTGCTCAATGTGCGGCCGCGTTTATCCCCTAGAGGCCTGCCTACGGCTTCTTTTGGGACGGGCACTTTCGAAGCAAAAACCAAGGCTGCAGCCATGAATAGCCGGCTTGCATGCCAAAAGAAAGCTTGGACCTTCAACTCGTCTCACTGAATGAAGGACAGACAGAACCATTCCTTAGCATCCCGCCAGTCCATCTGCAACCCGAGAAGCATCCCATAATCACGTAATACAGGGGTCTGCATACCGAGTATACTACAGTTACAATATTTCTTAAAACCCTTATCAAGGCCACTATATGTCAGCCTTGACATCTCGTCCGGACCTGTGACGAGGTGAGAACACCATCCCACAGGATCAGGCATTCTCGGGTGAGGCGTGGTGGAGGGAGGGGTTGGGGCGGCCTTATTTGGTTACTGATTTCGGATTTGATTCCAAAGTTCAGGGCCAATCTAAGACACCACTGTAGTATATACTGTATGTACGAATGTCTACATATTGTATTCTATAGATAGCTCTCTCTTCATTATATAGAACTATTGTATCAAATTATCTGTATGCCCGCCCTAAACCCTAATCAAAACCTTCCTCTGCACTTTCCAAGTTTTTGCCTCTGGAACAGAGCCGAAGTAGATGTAAACCCTAAACCCTAAGCCCTAAACGGGCGATCATGGAGGAGCCTGACTTCTGAGCCAAAGCCCCAAACCCGAAGCCCCTGAAGAGATCGCGTTGCCTGTGAGGACTGTGATGGCCTGACTACCGGCCTCACTTGCATCTCGCCAGAAGGGGCCCAGGAAAAGGGACGATGACTTCGGGAAGGGTTTGGATTGTTGGCGGGTTTAAGCTGTGCGGCTTGCATGGGCTGCGATACATCCTTTGTCCGGAATCCTAAACCCAAAGGTTCAGTCCCCTACAGCCAGGACTCAAACCACGAATTGGGTTAGAGGTTTTGTTGTATCAATCCTCTCCAGTCAGCCCTTGCATTCAAAGGAGCTTGTTATTCGGTTCATTGTTCAGTGTTCAGATTCAGTGTTTTGAAGAAGGTCGTGTTGTTTGCTTTGCTGCCGTCGTGTTTTCGTGGTATGCAGCATGTGCAAATGCATCTGTGCACTTCGCAGAATCCTGGACGAGAAGCCATAAATCGAAGCCTTGAGCACCATGTGGGAACTGGGTTGTACCATTGCTGTGTAAGTGGTTTCGGGGGTTCACCGGTTCACAGGTTTAGGGGGCAGGGCTGTATATCCTGAACTTTAAATGCGCGAACGCGAAGGCCTGAACCCTGGATCCCTAAACCCGAAATCGCCCGCCTCAGGTGAGGTGACCTGCAAACCGGGAAGCACCCCCAACTCGGCCACGATGAGTTGCGACGTCAGTGGACACCTGCACGGCACCCTCCCGTGACCGGGCTAAAAGGTTCAGGGAATCCCGAGGTCAGAGTGGTATTCTGTTGCTCTCATGGGAAAGGCTTTCAGTGTCCGGAGGATGTGCTGGCGATTTGGGACCGAAACCCTAAACCTAAACCCTAAGTTGTTTGTCGGGAGCTCGGAGTTCACTTCCGTGTGCTATTGGGACAGGGAGCCCGATGCCACCCAAAAGTCAAAGCCTCACACCCTGAGCCCGAAAGCCCTGAACCCCAAACCCTATAAGATAGGGGCCTCAATAATTACCTGTACTGTTTTGTTGTGTAGCTTTTCGGGCCCCTACAATAAACTTCGAAACCTTAAACACCCAGATGCCCCCTCCCAAAAAAACAGCTCAAATCTTAGGATTTGCAGACCCGCTCTTTGTCCAGCCAGCACGGCTTTGGAGGAGACCTCGCGGGGTGTGAGGCTTCGTCTTTGTGCTTATGCTTTATTTGAGGCTTAGAGGATTTCGTGTGGGGCCACTTTCTCTTTCGGGGTCAGTGCTTCAGGGTGCAAGACTTTGCACTTGTATTCAGGTCTTGGGTTTGGGGATGCGTGCGGTTGGGGGATTTATGGTGCTAGGTCTGGGGATGCCTTAGGCTGGGGTTTTGGGGAGACTGTGGACATAAGGTTTTGGGTTTCGGGGTTGGAGGCATTTGCCGTTAGGCGGGGTGTTTCTCACTAGGTGTATGTAGGCTTGTGGGTTCAGGACGATCGGAACGGGTTTGGGCTTGAAAGGACAATTCAGATCCAAGGGCGAGTTTGGGTCCACGGTTGTTTCGCGATTAGGGTTGTTGGGAGTCCCCAACGTTGTCTGAGGATATCTTGGGCACAGAGCGCTTGACAGACTTCTGCATAAGTGCAGCTGCTGCGCCGCAACATCGCAGCAAATCCTTTTCCTTAAATCCTTAGCCCCAAGCCCTAAAGACAAGCCCGAACTCCATTAAACTCCAAACTCTAAACCCTTTACAATCCGCTTTACCACAGGATCCGTCGCTGGAGCACAACTGTCAGGATGTCCCTTTCGGACGGAGCTGCAGCGTCTTCTGTGCGGAGGGGTCTTGCGGGGCATGATTGAAACCTGCAGGTGTTTCGGGTGTTGGGCTTCGGGGATTGCTCAGAGTACAGTAGTTGCTACTGCTGCCCCTGGGGTTCCTGGCTAGCTGCTACGACGACTGCTGCTACTACTGCTGCTGCTACGACGACGACGACTAGTACTACTGCTGCTACTCCTCAGCTTTCTTCTTTGAACTATAGTGTCAGCTCCCCCAACCCCTCGGGTTGGAAGGTGCAGGAAAGGCCTTTTAGCACACCGTTCAGGGTTCAAGGGGTTGCGATTGGAGATGTAGTGTGGAGGATGCGGAAATTGAAGCTTCAGGTTGGGCGCAAGAGGTCGTGTGTCTGGGGGGTTTGGACTGGGGTTCCCAAGGGAATGAATCCACAGAACAGCCTTGAGCACTCCTTCTTGAAACGCGAAACTCTCAACTGACCTGATAACACAGGCTCTTGTGGAGTAATAGCCAGGCGAAAGGGCTTCAACAAAACGCGAAACCCCTTCTTGAGGTTTTGGTACTTTCGGTGTGCTGGGGGCTTGCGAAGTAAATCGGGGCTTTAGCATCTTAACGATGGGGAACACAGGATTTGATATGGGGATCATGTTAGGATTAGGGTCCCAACTCAAAGGCAGTGTTACAAAAGTCCGCATGGCAGGTATCAGCTCAATGGAACTGATTCCGGGGAGGCGGGCTGTCGTGAGGAATGGGGCGAGGGCTCTCCAAGTAGTCTGTCCTACTTCCAAGTAGGGTTTGAGTCTTGTGGGCCGGTCGGTTCGTGCCGTCTTGAGTCAGGGGCAGTGTAATCTTCGGCAAACTCAAGCCCATATCAATGGTGCTAGCAGACTCCGGGCTTTCAATACGAGATTCCGGTGCATGGACCCTGCGGCTTTTCTAAATTTGGGGTCCTGCCGCATCTGCAACGAAATGTCTCCACCACTCGAGGTTCTATGAACTCTCAACCCTCGAAGGCTTAGACTAGGGCCCAAAAACAAGCACAAAAGCAAAAATTAGGATAGGGATATCCCATGTAAACCTCCTTATAATGAAGCCCAATGCTTATGCTTATGTGGTTTCTTGGTCCCAAATAGACTGCTAGACCTTCGAACCCTGGACCCCGAGCTCTTCCATGACTGCTTTTCGAGAGGTTTGCAATTTGAGGTTCTGAGGCTTAGACGGGAGGCAGGTGGGTATGAGTATCCTAAACCCTCAACCCTAACCTCTAAAGCCTGCTCTAAGCCCCCGAAACCCCAAATCACCGAGTCTCAAAAGCCTCGACCCCAAACCCTAAGAGAACCCTGAGCCGACAGGTCTGGGACTGTGTTCTCGATGGTTCCGGTCAGCCGATCCTTTCAGGTGCGATCCCACCTTGCGACGGGGCGTCCAACGGAGGGTTTGGGCCACCCACGACCGCATGTCCCAGGCCCAAGACTCTATACTCACAGCCCTAAGCCAAAGCCATGAAACTAACGGCTGGCACTGCGCTCAAGCCCCTCCGCATCGATGGCGCTTGCCGACCCAGAACGCGCGAATTTGCAGTTTTGTGCCCTTTGTTTCCCTTTGTGCCCTCAGTACCATCTTATGCCGTGTGACCTCTGTTCCCTTTGTGCCCTTCTGTGCCCATCGTCTTGATGCCTCCATGTTTCACTAACGTAGAGCTTCAGCAGGATTTCAGTTGCTTGTGGCGCCGCTCGGCCTAAACCTTAACTTCCGAGCTCCAGAAAAAACCAAAACAAACCGTGAGATCTGTAAGCCCTGAAGCTCGGAGCTCCTGCGTCTTTCCAAAGCCCGAAAACACTCTTACCAAGGTGAGCGAATTACTTGCGCCAGCCTGAGCCAAAGCGATGTGTTGGTGGACAACTGCACGAGCATCCCAGCCGGCTCGTGGGGCCCCCAGGTTCATGGCTTTTTGGGGTGCAGGAACTCCGCGTTTTAGGGTTCGGGACCTCTTGCAGTAGGACTTTTAGGTTTTGGGATACAAGGTTCAGGGATCCCAGAATGTCTTTGGGGTAGAGGGTTTTCGTGTTTATTGTGAAGCCGGAGCCATGTATCACAGACACGATACGAAGGTTCATCGTATTTGATTCCCAGGCGCATCTCGCAATACACCGTTGCGAGACCTAGCTCACGGGGGTGGACGTTTAACCGCGGCTTGAAGTAGAAATCTGAAAGAGCCTCAGCACACGCTCGGCAGTGTGGACTCAACGCCTGGATGATGCCGCCGGTGTTTTGAATTTTCGGAACCGGCCACTAAGAGTTTGGTAACGCTGTCCACCATGTTGACGTTCAGGTGCCGCTGCGATGAGTGTTCGTGCGAGTGAGAGTGGTAGCGTTGGTTCCGGCATAGGACTAGTTGTAGTAATTGCGATGATCGATGTGGCAGCGGGTTTAGGCCCCAAGCAGACATGCTTCTTTGGGCCACCGGCACGGGCCTGCCGTCTATGACTTGCTTTGACCCACTCAGTGCAACAAGCAAGACGCAGAGTTCTTCGAGTCAGACGGGCTTTGGTTGAAGGTGCGAACTGTCGAACTTTCGGGCGGGCTCGTCTCTTCAATACCCTCCAACCCCCCAAAAGCACTTTCAAGCCTAACCCTGAAAACCATCTACGGACCTTCCGCAGTGGATGCTAGGTCTGTGAGGGCGTTTCTGCGGGAAGAGCTCGGGTTTGGGCTTGGAGTGTGGACCCAGGGAAGGCTCATAGGACAAACTCAGAGAAGCTGTAGTTGTCATGGCAACGCAGCCAGCGTAACAAGAAGAAGAAGAAGCAGTGCCAACGACAGCAAGGAACAGACTATAATGGATGGGTATATAATAGCTATATTCAGGGTATATACCTAGGGGTCCGTAATCAGGGTCCCTCCTTTTACCCTTGGAGACAAGAAGCGCGAGCCGCCCTTATGGCGGAAGCCGCTAGTTCCCGAGAGAGTCTACACCTGGAAATCTATAGCTTCATTGATATGTGATAATGAACCCCCCAACCCTAATTCGCCAGAACCCGAAGTCCACCATAACCGTGAACCCTAATATAGGAGCCTTAAATATTACCTCTACTATTAGGGGGGTTCCTTATTATAAGTATAGAAAAAAACCCCAGAACCCTATTCTAATTATGAAGACCCCTACAGTACATCGGCCATAATCCTCCACACGATCCTTCGCCCGCGTCCGAGGACCTGTGAGCAACGCTGCCAGGAGGGATACGCACCGGCCACGTGACAAGATGCTGGCAGGTTTATAGCGCAGGGTTTAGGGGTTTAGGGGTTTCCGGGTTCGGATTTACTGTGTAGGGTTCAGGGTTTTAGGCTGAGGCATGTCGTGTAGGGTTTAGGGTTCATGGTTCGAGGCATGCCGATTGCTCTACCATTCCTAATTTTTGCTGCGCAGACCTTTAGCTTATTATCTCCATATCGGTTTTCTTCGTGTTTAAAGTGATTTCCTCGTCGCGTGTTCCTCTCCAAGAATCTAGTCCAAGGGTTGGCACTAGGGTTCCACAAAAGGTTACCCCGAAAACCGACGCCCGAAACGCTGAGCCAAAAGCCTCAAGCCTTGAGCCGCGAAGTCTTAAACCGCTGCCCTAGCAATGGCGGCCACCCTTCCAAGGGAGTTTTGACCTCCTTTGCCAGGTCCGACTTGTCCGCATCGTATTTTACGGGTGGCGAGTTCGGGCTGTAACATTGTTCGGAGTTTGAGGTTTCGGGGCCCAAGACTCTCAAAACCATACATCCTTGACTTCAAACTTTTGTAGCGGTTTACTTGGCCGGGGTTCAAAAAGGGTATAAGCTTTTTGAGGGTTTCCATTTATTTACCGACTTTTCCATGGTCAGTGCTCATGTTTCAGATGTCGCCAGGGAAAGGGATAGGCTGCAAGGATGAAGCATCAAGGGGCGTCCTTGCACCTTCTCGCTGGAATTAAAAGGCTTAAGCTTGGATTCTGTAAACTCCTGACTCGGTTGAAGGTTTAATCAAGAGCCATGAGCCCCAGACACCAGCACAAGAACAAAGCAAATCGGCTCCCTTTCCTATAGCCAAGGTCAATGCCTCCGTCGCTGTCTACACCTGCGACATGTCCGGTCAAATCGCAAACGGCGGCGCGAGTGTATTCTGTGCCCCTGACAGATCTTTGCAGGGCTGAGTAGCAGGTCATTAGGACAGGAACCTCGAGAGAATACAAAGCTTGTATAGATATAGTTCTCCGACCATCGTAGAATTTGTATGCCCCATCCTAGCAAACCATTCTGTGTGTATATATATATATATATATATGGTCACGCGCTCCGCAGCCCCCCCCCCCCCTCCCCCCCAAAGGTCAATGGTCCGGATATAGGGTGGGGCCCCCCCCTCCCCTGTGGTGTGGGGTGTGGGGTTCCTCTTCCCCCTGTGGGGTGTTTGTGGGGTTTTGGGGTTTAGGGTTTGGCTTAAGCTTTTGAGTTTTGGGTTTACGGTTACAAGGTATAAGGCTTCGAGTCGACAAGGGCTTAGGGCGGATTTGCGGTGTACGCTCTGCTTTAGGCTTAAAGCCTGCAGTTAGGTGGGGTTTAGGGTTGGGTGTAGCGTTTTAAGTACAAGTTAAGGTTGCTCAAAACAGGGGCACGCGCTGCGTTAAAGGGTCTACAGCTTGCTTGCGAAGGGCTTGCGCGTGAGCCCTGGCCGCCAGCACCACCCCACCATCCGGTGGCAGCTCCAACGGCCCCCAACCATTTCCGCGCACGCCAGGGCCCCCCCCACCCTATCAGACCATACCATTGGGGGGGGGGGGGGGGCTGGGAACGCCAGACGCCTGACCATATATATCTGTCTCTCTCGCTCGCTCTCTCTCTCTCTCTATATATATATATGTCTAGACGTATTTATTGAATTGGTTAGTTGCATAGCTTCCAGAAGCCTCAGGAACGGGCGCGTCGACCCTCTATCGGAGCCTACGAATGCAGTTCTCTAGAGAGGCTCCTCGTAGCCCGGGAGGCAAACACAGCATGCTCATTTCGAGACACCGTGGCAAATCCCAAAGACCCTAGCATATGTCCTGGGGCTGCAGCATCTGGGCTGCAGGGTACAGCGGTTGTGAATGGCTTCCCTCCCTGAATCGCTTAGCCCTGAGACTTCCCACACATGAGGGCTTCTGACCGCTGGGCTCCTTTTACAACACTTTTCTGGAACTTCACCCTAAACCCACCCCACACCCTAAGCCGTAAACCCGCTATCGAAGCTGCGCCACGGCGAGGTGCAGCAGTCGCCTGCAATACCAGCGTGTCACTGCCGAATGTGCTGCACACCTGCGATGGCGTGGCTCGGTGGTAGCCGACAGGGGGCTCCCTTTGGATTTTAAGAAAACCATAGAGACTATTCTACTCTACGAGAAGCTCACCTGATAATCGCCGTTTGATCATATTCGTCGAGAAGGGAGAGTTGTCTGTCATGGACCTCTTTGCAGGACATGTCGTCGTGTCGGGGAGTCCAAACGTAGAGGGTTTTAAATTTTGCGAAGAAGGAATTCGGAGTAATTGCTCTGCACCGTGAAACCGTAAAGCCTCAACCCTAACTCTGCGAAGAAGCCCTTGCTCATAGGTCCTGGCCAACCGGTCCTGCTATGCCTACTGTGAAGACGGCTTCGAGCTCCAGCAGAATGAGGCGGCCCCATTGTGAACATTTTTTGTAGCACTGTTCTATTAATACTACTCTTACGTTCTATTTTCTGTTATTATTGTTGTTGCAATAGTCGTTCGTGTTATCTTTGTTATTACTATTACTGTCATAATTTTTCATTTTTACGGCTAATATCATTGTTACAAGAAATACTATGAGTATCATTATTGGTATTGTTATTGTTCTCAGTATCACTGCCGTTATTGTTATTAGTAGTACTGTTGTTACATCCCTCCCCCAAACCCGAAGCTTCATGGTATTCATCACCCTCAATCCTAGACCGCCCAAGCCACAAAGTCCTTAAACGCGATGAGCCACGAGAGCCTCGACCTCAAAGCACTTCAGCACGCGAGCCCCTACCTCCAAACTCCGGAATCATTCAGACCCTCGTTCCCGTGCTTCTGCACTTGAGTCAGTGTTGTCATTCAAGCAAGTGGAGCCCTGAGGCTTTAGACTCTGGGGAAGTCACGTCTGGCTTATTCAAAGGCATGCAGTGTTGGGTTTGATGGTGTGGTGTTTCGCGGTTTAGGCTGCTAAGCGTTCGGGTTCAGGCCTTAGGATTCATTCGTGGGCTTTGCTCTTCTTGAAGCGAATCCCCATCAAGTTTTACCCTGAGCTTGAAGGTGCCCATGTGGACATGTACCACTGAAGCCGCTGTGCTGTTCAGAGCCATCTTCTAGAACTTTGGTGTTTAGGGTTCTAGGCTCTTTCGGGGCCGGCCCGGCCGATGTTTGATTGTCAACTGACCAACACCCCTAGCAAAAGTAGAGGTTGGAATAGTTTGTAATCGTGTCCCACTATCGTCCCCCATCGCCCCTATGCAGGTCTACTACAATACACCCATCAAAACCCTCCTCTAACTGTGAAGGCCCATGAAAGTAAATTCGGAGGCGGCGGAAGATTGTGCTTTGGGGTGTTGAGGATTTCTCTGGTAAGGGGTTTGCGCTTTGTGCTCCTTGGTTTTACGATTTTTGGGGCTTCTAGTAAGCATTCGCTTGTATTTTCGGCCCCAAAAACCCCAAACCTAAGCCTCAGAATAGCACATCGGGGATGCACAATGACGAGAGGAATACACTCCTATTTGGACCAGAAGTCTTTGCTAGACAGCCAATGCTGAAGGCTGGGTTTGTAGGCTTCGGTGCTTTAGTGCAGGGCACACGGGAGCACGAACTGTTCAAGCACCACCGTGCTTCAGGCCCCAAACAAAGGGCCCGTATCCTAAGACAGGTATTCGCGATGTCCACTGTCAGCTGTCCCTCAAGCGATTCAATCCCCAAGCCGTCAACCCTTACCCC